AACCCAAATGCCTAAAAAAAAAAGGACAGATTCCTCTTTATGGGTGCAATTTGCACTTGCAAAACCCAAGTTCCATGGTATACCTCATTCTGTCAGCGTGCGGCTTGGCTTCCTTCCCCATCCAGCTGCTCTGCTGCCCCCAGCCCTTCATGGACAGACCAAGGACACCTTTGCACCAGTTCTGTCCCGGCAAGGCTGAACTCATATGCACACCAATTCCTGCTGCCAGTTGCAGCAGTGATATCAGTCAGGGTGTTAACTCAAAACTCTGGTCACTTCAACCCTCCTCCGAGGCACTGAAATCCCACTGGCATGGAGCTCTGCTTCCATCACCATAGATGGGGTGGCTGGTAGGGTCTTACTGACCCCACCAGGGCCTTAATAAGGCCTACTTACACCTACCCTGCAAAACACTTGCTTCCCTCTTCAGGAAGAAACATCTGGTTCAATGCACACTTTTCAACATCCGTATGTAATATTTGTAAGGCCTTTGTTATGTTATCTCTGCCTCTCTCACTTCCCGCTCTCCCCAACACTGACTTTTGACTCTGTTTTTGTCCTATATTTTCTCTGTTCATTATTGATCAGAACTGCTATTCTGCTTCCCATGTAAACTTTTCTTCTTAAAAAACATGTATTAACATTCTTTTTTCTTCTTTACTTATAGTCATATATACATGTCCTATACCATATGCAGAAAAGCCTTTTTGAAATGTATGGTAATTACTGCACTAAAATATTTTACACTCATCCAGTTTGATGCAGTCAACCTGTAGCATTGTAAGACGATTAATTCATCATGTTGTAACATGAGTGCATAAGCACAAAACAAGGATAAATGAAGGAGACTACCTCTTTTTTTGGCACGTGAACCAATCCCCAGGATCGCATGGTGGTCTGCCTGTTTTTAATGGCGGATGCAAACACCGCAGAACTGCCAAAAACATTTGAAGGTACACGAGAATATTTAAATATATCTCTAACACTTTATTGAGAAAATAATTAGTATCGCTATCTTTAAACCCCCCAACTCTCTAACTTCCTCCTCCTAGGCTCCCAGGAGTTTCCACAAGAACAAACCCCCATCCATGCCCCCACCTATAATCCAACAACAAAACGAACAGAGCCTCCCCCCTGAAACTCTGCTTTTCTTGTCTCTATCCTCCTTCTCCTTTTGACTGACTTTTTCTTTCTTTCTATCTGCCTCTCTCCCCCTTTGCATTCATTAGCTACTTTCTGGGGTTGTTAGAGAACCTTTTTCAGGCAGTTGAAAAGCTCTCGGAGATATCTGAAGGGGTGAAAAATCATACTAGAAGCAAGGAGTTGCATCTTTATATTACTTTTGCAGACCTGACTCTTTGCCAGAGGGTTAGCAGATGGGCGTGTGTTGCCAGAACATGTTCTGAATTTAAACAAAATTACATTGGCTCTTGCGGGGCTGCTGCAGCAGCACAGTGACCTCAGGAGCCATTTTTACCTACGCATTGTGTCAAAAGGTGAACTGTGTTAAGGTTTAATTTACTTGATTTAAAACTTCTCTGTCTGTAAGAGATGTGTACGATAGAAACAGGCCTAAAAAACAATAAAATTAAAATAGTCCGCATCTTCCTTAACCTCCTCTCTTTTCACCTGTTCTTAAGGATTCTGGCTTTTGAAGAGCTCCAAGATACACTTTTCTGAAGTATTTCTAATTAATACAAACCTCAGACCTTTGATTTTGAAGACAAATGCGTAGCTGCAAACAGCAAAATAAGAAAAAGCAACCTGCAAAATATTTCTGCATCTGTTGGCTTCAACCACAAATACAAAGCAGGAGACTTTCATGGGAAAAAGTCTCCAGAATATGGTTCCTACTGAGAAGCAGTAGCTAAGCAAAAATCTTTGGGTTTGGGTTTTTAGAGATTCATAGATATTTTAAACTAAAACAGACCTTAAGCCACTCCATTTTGGGCTGGGTAGTGTACAACTTGTGGGTGCTTTAAGCCTGTGATTACTGTCCCTTATGGATGGATGGTGTTTTAGCAGAACCAACCACGCAGCAATCACATTGACAGACTTGTAGTCAACGGGAGGGGGTTGCTTAGGTCAGATATGGGTTTGGTACAGGGGGTTTCTGTCATGGGGGAGACCTCTTAGGGCTGTCTCTCCACCTGTTGCTAATAAAGGACTTTTTTTGCTTGGTTTCAGAGCTGCTGGATTTTGCATTCTCCCTCTGAGAGACCTCTGTGCAAGCTAATGGACTGCCTTGTCGAAAAGAGTTGTGTTTCCTGCATTTCACTGCCTGCCCCCCAGGCTGATTTCCTTTCGTGACTTAAGAGCTGACAGTGCAATCTGCACACATTTGTTGGCATTGAGCTTTCACGCTGAAACCTGTGACCGGCTCTATCAGCTTCTGGAAGAGAGTGATGTCCTGCCACAGCACTTGAATAAACCTTACAAATTTTATTTTCAGCAAGGGATAGGGGAATCTTTCCAAAGAGGATCCCGCTTTCCAGGAAATCCCTTCATGCCTTTTCTGGCCAGTGGTGCCATTGCACCAATGTACTATATCCTGATGGCTCGCTCTGTGCTGCATGTGACCGTGCCCCAAAGGGCTCTGCTTCCATCAAGGCGGCCTGCAAACTTCTCCCCCAAGAATAGCCATCAAGTCATCAATATGAGGACAATAATACATCAAGAAATGTAGTCAGGGACCTATTCTGGGCTTCAAACTGCCTTTGGCATCATTCAACATCGTGCTGTTGGTAGAGACAGCAAGTCTCTCTTTATATTGAGAGGTCAGAGTTCAAGTATCTTCAAATTTAAAATTATCATCGTAAAACCATGCCTTTACTATTTTGTTCATTCCAGAATGTAATTACCTTTTTTTTCCCAGGACTGAATGGAGATGCTAGGTGGTAAAGATTGTCTTTTGTTAGCAGAGGCAGACTCTATAAGATATTGTGTTGGTAATTTTGCAGTTATCTTGGCTTCCTTAATATCATTTAGCTATTTCTTTTCTTTATGGGTGCCTTATTCTCCTTCATTCTGTTTCACTTTGAACCTCCATTGATGTTGAGGATTTAATGCATTTTTTATCATACTGTGCAAAATGCTGATGAAATCTTTGTGCACTCTCTCTGGTGACAGAAAAAGGTTATTATTATCGTCCCTTTTGTATTGTATCTCCAGAAATCTATGCACATGCTTTGTAGCCACCCACTTTGCACAGAAGCATGAAGAAATAAATTTTTTTTATTCACTGCAAAAGCACTTTTAAAAAGATGTTTCTTTATAATTGTCCTTTTTAAAATTTGTGCATGCTTAATGCGTTGCTTTTTAAAGGGATTTGAATGATTTGCTCCAATTATACATACCTTACTGCTTCTTAGCTCAAAGGTGAAACCATCTGGGGTGAAATCAAAAAGCTTATATTAGGTTTGAATGTGGAAGGAAAAGAATTTCATTCACTGAGGGCAGTGATGAAAGAGCCCCATCTGCAGTCTGTACCTGTCAGCCAATTACTCCATTTTTGGCATTTTCAAGGATTCTAAACCCACACAGACTTTTTTTTTTTAATCCCAATCCACCCAATTCTCGATCTGTAAAGGTAGAGAAGAAAGAGTGAGCTCCCTTTTCCCCCCCTCTAGACAGTTTCCATACTTCTATTAATTCAAACTTCTTTCTAACTGCTATCTTGATGTCTCAACAATCTTCTGCGAGGAACAGTAACTGTCTAAATAAAATGGGGATTAACTAAAACTATTCAGAAATATTTTTATGTAAGTACCTGGTTGATTCCGTGTGTTCCAGCCGGCCAGCCATGCAGCTGTTCCCGATTTACACACAAATAGCAGCTGGATAATAAGATGTAGTTGTGATATCCCTACAATGCCCATATGCTCACTTTGAAAAGCTGGAGAGAATTCTGCTTTTGAAACAGAATTAAATGAAAATTATTAAATAAAACAGCAGAAGACTAGAGACGCTGTCTAGTGAGTCTATTTGCTTATAATTCTCAGTAGTCCTACAAACACACTTTGCAGTCAGGACACACAGGATTTGAATAATTTTCTGCTGTTACATTTTCCCTGCCGCTAGAGGTAACATAATAGATGATTTTCAATAAACAAATCTGCTCTTTTCTCTCAAGGTTTGTGTCCACTCTGAATGCATTTGTGACATCAAATTTTCATTGGGGAAATGAAAAATAGCCAGCAACCCACATTCCTGAAAACCCGAGAAGCCAAGCTGGCCATCTTTTTGAAACACTATACAAGTTTAAGAAAAACTAAAAATCACCGTTGTGTTCTTAAGACATCCAGTACATATGGGGAAGTGAGTGAAAGTGGACTTTTGTACTGAGACTGCCTCAAGCTACCATTTTTCTGAGCATGGTTTTATCAATTTTGTGCCAAGCCCTTCCTCCTGAGGAAGTTCTCAGGTCAAAATTTAGAAGGTGACTGATAAAACGCAGGAGGTCAACATGAAGCAAAACATTTGCAAAAAGAGCCTATGGAAGAAGCCTTTTGTAAAATAAGAAGGACGCCTGGCCTGTATTAGATTCTCTTTTTTTTTTCCCTCTTTAATTCTCTTTTATTTAGACAATAATTTCTATTCCCCTTCTTTTAATCAATGCAAGATGCAAACTCTGTGTTTGGATGTGGGTAGGGTGAAGTGTAATTGTGCATTAGATCTGCTGAGGCTGGGATGCACACCTGTAGTGAGAAAAACTCATGCTTTTATAAATTGCACACAATACTACTTTCAAAAAACTCATGATGGGTAAAACTCCCATCACCAGTCCTGTCCACTGCTGTGTTAGTCCTGCCCTTGGAAATAGACCTCTGAACACATAGCTATGACATGAATTAAATAGGGTTTTCATTTTTACATAAGACCTCAACAATGCAGCGAGAAATTTGTCATATTCAGTATGAGCGTTTGGAAAAAAACTCCTTCTTGAGTCCATTACCTTTGCTTTTTCAGATGCTTTTAGATTATGTGTCTGAAAAGAGCAACACTTCCTTCCAGCTGCAGCCCAAAAGAACAACAAAATCATTTCTGAAGAAAAAATGTATCTATACAGGTTCTTCAATACCTTTTTATTCTGTGTATTCTTCCTTTCAGGCAGTAACACCACCTGTAAGTGAAGCAAGTAGAAATTATCTCTTCTGCAGTTAAAACCCACCTCATCCATCAAAACCATTTTGTCACTTGTTCATATATCGTATACTGTTAGTTTTAATAGTTGGGTAATATTGCAGTGTCTGGATATTACAAAAAATTGTATTTTAAAATGCAGGCAGTGATAAAAGACAGTAATAACACTAGGAAATACTTTTAAGGAAACCTGTTCCCTGTAAAATTACCTTGACTTCATGTGTTATTACGGTCTCAGCAGAAATTAGCTCCAACACCAATGGAAAAGGACTTGGCATCCCAATTCTTGAAATAAGATCACTAGACAGGACTGTCACTTTCACTTCAATTGAATGACAGGAGAACATCCCATATAGGAGAATCACCCTGGAAAAAGTAAACTAACAATTAGTAAAATATTAGCTATAACAGCTGCAGTTACTATTTCTATTAAAGATTATCGATATTCCTATTAAGGATGAGTTGGGAGACAAATCAGGATCTAATGTTTAATTATATTTAGACCTAGATATACAGGCAAAAATGCTTACTCAACAGGAACATTTCCTTAACTCCACTGGAACCAGGATTTCGCAGGGAATGTCCAAATTTTCAGGATATCGACTGCAGGCACATCACTAGAAATAACATTAATGATTTTCAGTGCAGTTTAAAAATAATTAGAGGCCGAACAATTGTCCAAGTTAAATGGTCGTACTAAGAAAAGACAGAAAATTCATGCAAGGTTGTATAACCTGAGGGGAGAAAAAGAAAACAGGAATAAAGACTAAATCAAATTCACAATTAAAACCATTGTGAAACTGGACATTTTGCAAAGGTCTTGATTGAAACCCATGTGAAAGTTAATTGTTTAGACTCAGATAATCTTCAGCACTCAAATAAGAAACAAGGAGAAAACAGACATGCAAAAACAGAACTTGGAAAAAAAATGCTAGAGAAAACCATAAGACATAAAAGAAACAATATAAATAGCTCTAGAAAACAGTATAAATTGCTTCGTTCCCACAGATTCAACAATGCAGGTTCTCATTATAATTTCAACACTGTATTTCTTTTTTTATAAACAACATATCAGTAAGATTTACCAATATTGTTTCAATATGCTGGAAGTTTAATTATCTGTTCTTTGACATCTGGTATTTTTCTAATTCTTTACTTTTAATAGAAAGCAATAGAAATATGTACTGAAGACTTCATTTTAGCATGGCTGATTTGAAGGCTAATTAGCACGTTCATATCTGTCAAAAAATTCAATGTCTTTTGTATTCCTATTTCTGGGTTCTTTTGTGGTCAGTTTAATTAAATTTGTTCATAAAGTACTTGAAAAGGGAGGAGAAAAAACTCAAAACATTTAATAGCTTAGGTTGCGTTTTTGAAAGGCAATGATTAGTTCATGTCCATTAAACTAAAGGAGGATTCAGCCGAGTAATTTTTGGAGGTTTTCTAATATTATCCTTAAAATTTTAGCATGCCTTTTATTAAGAATAGTCTGGAAAGAACAAGAAGCAGTCATGATCCAAACTGGCCTTCTCTCTTCTTCTCCCACAAAGGAAGAAGCAAAAAAAAACCAAAACAACAACTTATTGAGATGCTGAATAAGAGGAGTTCACAATTTAAAAGGCTGCTGACAACCTCTTACAGCGGGTGTTCTGTTTCAGCAGCTATGATTTCAAGAGTGAACAAAGTGGGTCATAAACGCTACTGATAGCCAAAAATTAGGAGATGAAGAACACTTCAGAATGTTTAAGTGTGGTAGGTATGATTACAGCAATCAAAATTGCTACCCCGTTTCAATGCAGTTTATCTTGAACAGCAAGGTTAAAAAAAAAAAAAGGAAAAAAAAAAAAAAAGTATATGATACTAAATTGTGCAGTATGCATAAACGTTAGAAATGGTCCTGACAGAAGTCTACACACTACATGGACAGCTGACACAAAAGGCAACATGGTATTTGTCTTGTTTTGTACTTTCAACCAAAAAGATTTCTGCTGCCTTTTCAGAAGAACTTTGTGTCTTATCTTACTGTCTGAAGTAATCCTTTGCTGGTTGGTGCTGTGGACTGACTTGTTTCTCACAAAATATTTTCGCCAAAAAATGAAAAAAAATCTCCATTCTTAATTATAATGCTGGGGTGTTTGCAAGGATGTTTCTATATGTAATTCACTGGCCTGCAATCACTATATAATGACTATATATAATGGTATATATTATCACATATGACCAGTAAAATAGCATAGTAATGTTTGTCATGTGACCTGAATTTGGTCCCATGACCATGAATACAGTCTCTAGAGAATGAACCTCACCCAGGTACGTACTGTGTAAGTTGTAGTTTTTCTTCTTCTATTGAGCTATTTTTGACCACTTGGGATGTTTTCTCCATTCCTCACATCGACTTCCTGAGCAGTTTGAGAGCAGATGTTTGTGCTCTTGATCCTTGTCAGGCATTTGCTCCACAGTCTGAGGCCATGGCTGGTACCAAGGGCTCCAGGTGAAGCTGGCAGTAAACACTACCATCTCTTTCCTCTTCTCTCTCACTGAAGATGCAACATTTCCAAGGATCATTGCATAAACCTCACTACCTTCCCTACAAAGTGCAAAACAACTCCATAAATACACAGTGACACAAACATTAAAAACTCCAATCGAGCCATCCACAACAAGATGTCCTCTTTAAGCAAAGGACAAGAGAATAAACATCAGATGACAAATGTTAGGTCTTTCTCATCTTAAACCAGTATAACTTCATGCTGCCACCAAACATGAATCCTCTCTTCTTTCTGTCAGCTGAATCGGCAAGCTCATCCCAATTCATCAGGGAGCTGCTAATGGACAAAGAAGTAGTTCAACAATATATAAAGCATGATATACTAAAGAAAACAAGCAAAAGCCACAAAGGAAAAAAACACCTTAGTACTTAAAGTAGTACCTAATGCAGATTAAAAAGGCAAAAAGACAAAATTAACTTCATGTGGTTTTAATCCTAATACTTAGGGTTGAGTTGAGCATGATGTCCACATGCCTTGTTCACTATCCTGTAAGCTGAAAGGATACAGAACAAAAATAAAGTCTTACAGCAAATAATTAAGATAAAAACTACAGACCTAGAAGTTGCAATGGAAAAATAAAAATTAAACAAAAAACAGTCCCGTGTGGTTAGGAAGCAACTAAACATTCTCAACTTCTTCCAGGAATGGAAGGTAAACCAGCACAGGCATGTGAAGCTCTCAACTGAAGATCTGTACTCCAAGTACAAAAGTTAATTGGCAGCTAGCTTCTTTGCAATAGATTTAAAGATTTTAAAACCCAAAGGGATCAGCGTGATCGACAGATTTGACCTTCCGTATAACAGAGGCCAGAAAATGTCATGCAGTAATTCTTACATCAAATCTAAAAACTTTTAGGCTAAAGTAGAATATATATTCAACTAAGGTATCCAGACCCAGCTTTCAAGATTTAAAGAGATGGAGTGTTTCTTGCCAGCCCTTTAAAAATCGATCTACCTGTCCTTACTGCTAAGAGGGTTTACCTAATATCCAGTTTCAATAGCTTTTTCTTCAACAGAGTTTGCCACAGCTATTCACACCCAGATTTCTATTACACTCTTCATTTTCTTTAAACAGCAAACCATAAAGTTTGTGTTCAAAAGTGAAATAAATAATACGATCAAATTAAATTTTACAAAAAAGAGCTACTCAACAGTAGCAGTAACTGTAACCAGTCATACAGTTTCATGGTGCTTCTGATTGCTGCTGTCTGGGAGAATCAATGGTAAATTTTTTCATTAAAATATTCATTAAGCTTAGAGTACATTAGCAATTGCTTTAATCATCTTTCATACAATACCCATCATTGCCATTATTTGTGTTCTCCTCTGCTCAGACAGTTTCAGGGACATATTGTCATTTGTTTATAACCCAGTATCCATTGGAGTCAAAGGGAAAATATTTATTAGGTGAGCAAGCAGCGCAGCAGGTGGGCTTACCAAACACCTTGGACAATCCAAATTCCCTGCACAACACACTCAAATCCCATATAAATTGTAGTAAGAATAGAATTGCTTTCTACTGGCTTTGCCCGTACAGGGGACCTACAGAGCTTTTTAGCAACTGCTCTGAAGTCACGGAGCTGGTATCTAAAGCGTGCACAAGATCTCAACACCGTGTGGGTGCTCTCAGTGCCCACAGGATTGCCCATGATGCTGGAAAACTCCTGGTTTTATTTTGTGGTTTTTTTTTTTAAAACAAGGGAGCTTCCAAGGAAGTCCCTTGCTGCCTGTTCCTTGTACAGTGGGATGTCCTGTTTCTTGCCAGGCTGATGAGCTCCTGTGCCCCTGCAATAATCTTGTCATGTTATCAACAGCAGAGAGAGGATCAAAATCCTGCCCTTGTGTCATCAGAAATCAGGATTTACTGAAAGTTTAGGAGCTTATATTTTCAAAAGCTTGTGTGTGGGACTTATTCATAGGATTTACTACAAATGCAAAGCAAAAGCAGTGGGGTTTCTTTAAAGTCCAAGCAAGCACTCCCATCTAGCAAACTACTTACAAAGCAAGTAAAATAATTGCAATAATTTCCACAATAACAATAATAATCTTTGTCAAGTGGAAATTTCTTATGATAATACCATGAGCAAACATCAACCCATCCCCCTACTCCCACCCTTTCCAAAGAAGAAGAATAATTTTAGTCTCATATATATGATTGTATTAGACAGTTCTTTGCAGCCTTTTTATTGATTAAAAGGCACGCAGCTGCTGACATGTTTTGCAGAGCATACAGACAGAATGCCTGCATCTATGACTGCTAAAATGGAAACCTCTCCACGTGCAGCTCAGAAAGACATGCTTAATTTTTTTTTCTTTTTTTGAAAGAGAAACTGATTTTTTTTTTTATCATAATAGCAAAATAACAAAGCCTAAATTCCCTAGAAACTCTGAGGTTAAATATTTCAGGAAGAAGTCTGTATCCATTAGCAATACTGTATAATGCTGGATTGGATTGATGAAAGGGAAAACTTATTTTTTCATTTGAAAGATAACATAGTTGTTAAAAGCACACCAGGTGCATGAATTCAAGAATATTTATTTACCTAAACACGTGTTTTTAAACTATCCATAGTGAAAAGCAATGATTGGTAAATTCAAGCTGTTTATGTCAGGTCTCTGACATGAGTGTAGTTCTTGAACTAACTACTCTCCAGCATTCGTAAGCCATCACTTATCTTTACATCACTATAAACTGATAACTAGCAAAATACACTGCCTTAATTTAATGGGAAAAATCCTGTTTCTCATCTGCTGGAACAAACTCAATGTCCTAGAGATGTACCAGAAGCAAAGAGGATCTAAGACAGGGGTAAGAAGGAAAAATCACTCTCCTTTGAACAGGCGCTGTCTGGCAAACTGGTAGTCCCCAAACGGGTGCTGGAAAGTTTCTTCTCCGCTGGATTTTGCCAGGAAAAAGACACACGTGCACTTTTGTACCACCATCCAGAAACTATTTCTTACCTGAAAACGTTGCGTCACTAAATTTCCTTCAGGTGCTGTAAGACTCCTTCCTGGTGTACCGTTCTAAGTGCCAGCATGTCTTTGGACATATTCATTATTTCTGAGATGAGGGCCTTCAAATCAATGTAATATGCTGTTGTGTTGAACTTCAGACAGTTTGAATGCATTTTATTAATAAATAGGAACCAATAAACCAAACTTTTACTCTGCTGTCCCACCAACAGCAGTAATTGCAATAAACAGCCTTTTAGCTCAAGCCAACAATGAACCTTGAGTCCTTAAAGCATAAGAATTACAAGCATAAGAAAACAACCATCCAGGACTAGAGGCCTATTAGAGGATTTATTTTAAGAGATGTGTTTGTTAAGAATAGATTTTTCTTTCTGTTCACATATAATTTATAACATTCTGATGTATTTCCTTCACAAAATAATTAAGACTAACAATATGGGACTGGTAAAGTGCTTATTCTGACATCCTTCTATTATTTCTCCTTTTTCCAGAGTTTTCCCCTGATCTTCAGAGAGGTGTATTACTCCTACACTGCATTATACAGTACAGATAAAATACTGAAAAATAACTGATGTGTTTTAAGGTAGGCAGCTGGTGAATTTATGGAAACTCAAGGAGCTAGACCAGTACCTGAAATTAAGCAGGTAGCAATAGATGAAATGTAGTGATAGGACAAGGGGTAATGGTTTTAAACTGAAAGAGAGGAAAATTCAGATTAGATATTAGGAAGAAATTCTTTCCTGTGCGGGTGGTGAGGCACTGGCACAGGTTGCCCACAGAATCTGTGGATGCCCCATCCCTGGAGGTGTTCAAGGCCAGGCTGGATGGGGCTTTGAGCAACCTGGTCTGGTGGGAGGTGTCCCTGCCCATGGCAGGGGGGTTGGAACTTGATGGTCTTTAAGGTCCCTTCCAACTCAAACCATTCTATGATTCTATGATAAACGGATCTTTTTCCTTGCTGAAAGCTGATGTGTCGTGAGCTATATTCCTCTCTGTCAGACATGACAGCCTATACATAGAAAATTCAAGATAAATTCTATTTAATAGAATCATAAGCCTAGGAGATATTATAAAAATAATTAAATGAATGTAGCAACCTTTCAGGGAATCATCAGTCCCTCCATGCAGACCACCAGCTGGCACCATCACATCCCACCTCGTGGATCTGCCCAAGATGGCACAGAGCTGCGCTCACATTTCCCACACCCCCCAGGAAAGAGCAAGCATGTCCTGATGGAAGTGTCTCCTTTGTGCGGTTAACATGGAGAGATAGCACCTTCCATCTGCACCACCAACAGCTCTGGCCTTGTGGTTCACTGTGCTTCCACAGATTTTCTCTTCTTTCTTTCCCTTCTCATTCTTTGCCTTGCTTGGGCACTGTTTTTATAACATACACTTTTATGGTACGATCAATATTATTTTTCCTCCCTCACTTACTCCCTTCCTTTGTCAGTACTTTCCAGTACAGTTTTCTTGCCCACATATGTAACCACATTGCTGAATCTTTGTTTTCTTCTAATAAAGCTATCTTGCCAAAATTCAGTTTATGTGAGATCTCTGTCTAACTGGAGCTGTCTCTCTAAACCTGGCAAGTGGTTTATTTCCCTCGTTATTTTCTCAATTCACACTGGAATTTTCAGAAAGCAGAGAAATGTAGTAATAGAAATTCCTGCTATGTTTCCTTTTCCCCAAAACATTACATTTGGCCTTTTCAATATGCTCTTTGTCAATGAAACAGCAACCAAAAAACTGTTTAATTTCTCTATTAACTTGCTTTTTCCCTCCTCCATGTGAAAGGATGCAGTACGCAGTATATTTGCTAGTTTTCAGACTTCCTCTCTAAAGGCAAAAGCCTTCAGGCTCGGTGTAAATCTGGATCTAGCAAGAAACCAAGGCTGAAATTCTCCAGGAACATTACCTGTGCCACTGCTTCTGCTGCTGGGCTCAGACAAAGCCATTCTCTTTTCCTGCTATTGCTTTTGAGGTCTCCCCTTGGTTTTCTTCTCCTCCGCAGGTTGCCCTCGTAGGACACCGGAGGCTTCTGCACATGACTCTATTCCTTGTTCAAAGATAGAGGTGTGTGACTTTCCCTGCCAGACAAACAAAAAAGTCAATGGTTCAGCCATGATAAGGAATAAAAGCGTAAATGGGCACGCAACTTTTTGGAGTGAAACCCCCAAGTCTTCTCTCGTTATACCCTTTATCATTTCTACCATTTTTTTCACCATTTTCACCCCATCTCACCAGCAGGCTGAAAAGTCCACTTTTCCAAGCTGTCTTAACTGAAAACATTACACACTGAATAAAGAAGTGGAGGAGAAATCTTTCAAAATACCACCTAACTTCCTTTCCTCATTGGAAAACAGGAGCAGTGCAGGTGTGCCTTTGCAAGGCAACCTACATTTTAGAAATTCCAATATTTATTTTCTTCTGCAGGATAGCAAGAGCTTCTCAGGGAGCACAGTAACCCCTGTGCAAGTAGCATTTGCGGTACAGCTCTCTGCCTTTTTGTAATTACAGTGTTTTGGGAAGGTCACTGTTAAAAGCTAACTTTAAGTCTATCACAAAGTTTCCCAGAGATGCAGACCAAGCATAGCAAGTAGTGATGTTTTTAATTTTATGCTTTAGGAATTTCTACAGGTTTAGCAGTTTTAATACTGACGTTAAGCTGTTCTTTTTTTTTTTTTTTTTTTTTCGAAATAGCACCATTTACTGCTTTGTTGCTTTTTGTTATTCATTTATCAGTGTGGAATGTGTCTCTGTGCCTTTGGGGGCTGAGGTGAAGGCAGGCCCTTTGAACAGGGTGGAAATGCACGATAGGCTTTGTCTTGTCTTTTTTTTTTTTTTTTTTTTTTTTTTAGCTGTGAAAACATCTTTAAATCTCCTGAATATGCACCATTTGACCTACTGAGCTCAATAATTTAATGGTGTTAAGTCCTCAAATATGAAGTCAAGAGATTAAGTGTCAATGGCATGTAGGCAACAAGCTGACATAAATCCTAAAGAATTTAGCTTTAAAAAAACCTTAATTCCGTCTTTACTTCAATTTTCTTTCAGGGCTCTCTGAAAGATCTCTTTTGAACCTTTCCACATCTTTATACAGCTCTTTAAGCTGTGTCAGCAGGAAGAAGAGTAGCTTGCAAATATAGCAATGAAATTATAAGCAAACATGTGAAAACACAGTGTAGGAACATTTCCTAAAATGGACTTTTTAGAAAATCAATAAATGTTCACTGAGGTAGATCACTCAGCATCATCAGTGAAAGATTTTTACTAAACTAACTATAACAAAAGAATCAAACCTAACACCCAACAATGACAGCAGTTATATTCATTACAAAACCATAGAACTTCTTTAAAGGACACAGCATTTCATGAACAGCTGTGCAACTTCATGTCTCAGCTCTACCTTTATGCAGTTCCACCTTTGTAGACTCAAAATAAATTTAAAATAAAATCTAATCCTTAGAAATTCAGGGGATTTTTGTTTTACCCAGACTATGAGTGGCATCATGGGTGTTTGATTATCCTATAAACACCCTCAAAGTTGCATAACCACTGGGAGTTCCTGCAGGTTCTCACAACTGTAGATCTGGAGGATGCTGTGGTTTGAAAATGTTACTTTGTGTATCATTTCATAGCAAACATCTAACCTTCCACATTATCTTAACTTGAGGTGGAAAAACCAATGAATAAATATTTTATTAATTATTTTAATCATGGTGTTACACTGAGCCTTGAGGAAATCTTTTTTCACTGATTTCAGCAGCAGCAGAATGGGACCACATATCAGTGTTTTTAATGAAGTTGAGAAATACTGACTGCAATTTTTCAAGTAAAGAATTGAGGTCTCCCTTTACAAACAAGTATTACAGATTAGTCTTCTTTCTTTCTGAGGCATACAGCTTTTTACAATGAAACTTAATGAAGTAGGCTCTAAGGTATTTCCTGTTACATATTTCAATAAAAGAAAATATAAGCCACTAAAGTTGCTCATGTAAGCATTCAGGATTTTAGGAATTACTTAAACAATGAATGCATGAATTTATTAACCTACTTGGAGAATTAAAATGTGCCACTACATGATTAATCAAAACCAGCAGTCATTTCAGGTTTGAAGGATTGATTTTATACATGCAGCTGAAACATAATTAAAACAATATGCAATTGTGTTTTGCCTTTAGAAAATTTGACCAGACTCCTAGACCATTAGAACACCTTTGCAACAGCTTTTTTTTTTGGTACCTTCATATGTCAGTTACCTCTTGGTAATGGCACAGACTCAGGAAGATTAGATTCTAGTACTTAGCCTCAAGTAAAGGAAGTCTAGTAAAATTAGCAATTTTTTAGTGTTTTTTTCTTTGCAATATTCTGCTGTACTGGGAACATGGAGAGGATCAGCATGATTAAGTAAATTTTTTCTCATTTACGGCATATTGCATAAAAGCAAAAAAAAAAAGCAACAAAAAATTGTGATACCAGACTAAACTGTGTACAGGTTATCTGCATATGTCAGGTATTTAATATTCAATTTTGTAATAGGAAAGGCTTAGAAAATTCATGACATTTTCTCTTTGGTCACAGGAATGTTCTCTGTTTAAACCAGCTGTAACACTGATACTGTGAGATTAAATATAACACAGAAAGGATAAAAAATTACCATATATTTAAAAAAAACCAACCACAAAACCCCACCAAGACAAAATAGAAATAGCAGAAATGAGAACAATAAGAGGTATTTTTTCAAGTCGCTGAAGTGTCCTACTACTTAAGGTAGACCTTCCTGATACCCTTTTGCCCATAATTAGCCACACCCATAAACAAAACCCATGAGGAGATAAAAGTATAAAATGAAAGAAAGATAAATTAAAATTGTTTGTCTCCCCAAATCACACACCTTCAACTGGAAGGGAAGATTTTAGCATACCTGCACAATGCTAACAGTAAGTTCTTTTGCTGCCCAATCAGGCAGCAGTGCAGTCACAAAGCACAAGCAGTTCACATCCCCCAGACATGGCATCTCTGCCTTGTAGGGCAGGAATAGCATAAGAAAACTACTTGGAAATCACATGCCGAGATTACCTTCCATTCATCAGCTATTTTCACACTCTATAAATGAGAGCCCCTGGCTACCTAGGTGCAAACTCTCACCCCCAACCCTATTCCTGACTAAACGCTAAGTATATTTTAATTTCAATATTCTTATTCTCAATATGTCATTCCTTATACAGGTCAGGGATTTGGGTCAACACATACTTCAGGCTTTTGCCTGCAGTAACAGGTAATACACAAACCCAGCTCTTGGCCAAATCTTCCACACTGAGCAAATTTGACAGGGGAACCATTGGTGCAGAATGAATGCAAATCAGGATGCCAGTTTATTTTCCAGTCAGTTCTGCACATAACTAGAATCTAATCCAGTTATGGTAAATATTCAAAATCTTGATGCAAGGGTAAAACATATGTAAATTGCCATTGTGATTTTTTAAAAAGTAAACTAGAATCCAGCAAATCCATCTCGTTTCATTATTCTCTGCAGCAGAGAAGAAAATTCAGTTGCCAAGAGCAAATTAAAAATAATAATACTAGCAACACATATTTTACAAATGCATTCTGCTTCTTAAAAAATAACATCCCTGGATGCTATAGAAGGCAATAAATTATTGCACAGGCTCTATGCAAAGTATCTCAGCACAAAGTAGATTATCTGCTCACATGTAAAAAAAATGAAACCGTGCCACTTCAAATCTGAGTACACGGCTGTCGGAGTGTTCTACACTTTAATGAAATTTTAGAAGCAATCATCGATGACTATGCAGAAGTCATGTCTGCTGGCAGAACTGTCAGTTTACATAAACACCTAGTGGGGGAACCAATATTAATGGCTGAAGCTGCTCTGTACCCCGGGGCTGTGTTTGGTTGGGAAGGCAGGGTAAGCAGGGCTGCCAGGCGCTCGTCTTGGCTCCCCCGCCAGCTTGTGATGCATCTTTCGGAAGAGTGCCATCAACAGACGCGAGCGCACGCCTGCCTCTGCTGTCAAGGTTTTTAACAGCAAACTCCTTGACCAGCGAATGAAAGCTAAATGGCTGTCTAGCCAAAATTACGCTGTGCTGCTGAAGGCATTTTTAATAGAGGAAGTGCTGAGAGCTCACTTTTCTCTCTCAGGCGCCCTTGCGTATCAAGTCAAGTGACAACACAATTTACACATTCAAATGGAAATACAGAACATGTACTAAATAAAGCTGTATTAAGGCTTTACCAAACTACGGTTGGTTTTACGTATTATTTACTTTAACCGTTTTTTAGCAAAAAAAACCCTATGCAGTTAAATACAGGAGGAGACCAAAAGCAGAAGTTTGCTCTCAGAGAATTTCATAGAAACAATACAAAATGTTTTACGCTAACATATGTTAGTAGTCATTCGGTTCCAGAGGAAAAAGCGAAGGTAGTTTAACTTAGAAATGAATTTAAAATCCTCTCAAATGTTGGTTGGTTTTGACTTTCTTTTATTTTTAAATTTCATGGCACTTTATCAATTCGGTATTTTGTTAAAGGAAATGAGGGGATGTCTAGAAATCTAAATGATTCCAAAAGCATAGAGAGGACAGTACAGTGTAGCTCCTGAGCTTTCTTGCAGAAAAAAACTTGTTTCTCTGTGTAAACCTGTTACACTGTAGACAAAAATAGAATACTGAAACTCTCACTAATATATGCACCTGTAGAACAACTGCCTTTGTCTGATGCATCTTTCTGCATTGCCCTCACTTCCCTCCTTCCTCAGTTCTTGTACAAAACCTGCAGAAGCCAAAAGAAAGATTCTCAGTAGTTCCACTGGTGGCCCTCCGGCTCCAAACATTATAATTTAGTTCAGGATTCTACACTGCACACTATTAAACAATGTAAATTATTAACAGTTGAGTTAACATTCAAGAAACTGAGAAATTACTCTGATAATTGATATTGTTAAATATGTAGAAAAAAACAACACTTACCTTTTTAGCTGCATGTTTATCAGAAGAAAAATCTACACCATGGCAGAAAGGAGCTTCTTTGTTTTGAGAAGTGGTACCC